TAGTTCTGCTTATAAAATATTGGCTAAATTGCTATCAAGAAGAATTAGAAAGGCATTACCAGATGTAATTGGTATATATATATTAGCATTTCTAGGAGGTAGAAATATTTTTTATTGGATGATGATTGCAAATGAGGTGGTTAACTAATGGAAGAAGACAAAAAAGAAGGGAGTTGTTTTGAAAGTTGACTTTGAGAAGGCTTATAACTATGTGAACTGGAACTATCTATTTTCTATGATGTCTAGCATTGGGTTAGGTGATAAATGGAAGAAATGGATGGTTTCTAGTGTAACCAAAGCAAGAGTTTCAGTATTAGTGAATGGGACTCTAACAGATGAGTTTTCTCCTCAGAAATGGATTAGGTAAGGTGATCCCCTTTCACTTTTTCTTTTCAACATAGCACCTGAAAGGCTCAACATTCTATTAGAAAGGGCAAAGGAGATAGGATTGTTAAAGGGTGCTTCTATTGAGCCATCTGAGTTGAAGCTTTCTCGTCTTCAATTTGCAGACAATAATATAATCTTCTATGAAGATGTGAAGGAGGAAATTATAGTTATTAAAAGGATTCTTAAATGTTTTGAAGTGATATCAGGGCTTAAGATTAATTTTCACAAGAGTGTAGTATGTGGTGTAGAAGTGTCTGATGAGAAGACCCAGGAGTTTGCCTCTATTCTGAATTGTTCAAGTCAAAAACTACCTCTGAAGTATTTAGGTTTTCCTCTTGGTGCTAGCCTGAGAAGCAGGAGGACTTGGAAACCAGTGGTTGATAAGATCAGGTTCACGTTGGCATCATGGAAGAGAAAACTTTTGTCTTTTGCTGGTAGCCTTACTTTGATAAGGTTGGTATTGTCAAATTGACCATGTTATTATTGGTCTTTATTTTTAATTCCAAAAGAAGTGGTCAAGGTGATTGATAGGTTGCAGGCTTCTTCTCTTTGGAGGGGGTTCGGATCTAAAGAGAAAGATGCATATGGTTAAATGGGGGGATATGCCAATATCAAAAGAGCAAGGAGGGTTGGGCATTAGGAGAATTAGGGAAGTGAATGAGGCTTTGTTATTGAAATGGTGATGGAGGTATGGGGTGGATGACAAAGCTTTGTGGAAACAAGTGTTAATTAGTAAGTGTGGATCACAAGGGGGAAGATGGTTACTTCATTGGAATTTTGAACAAGATAGGAAGGTATCCAGGATATGGAGTGACATATTGCAAGTAGTGAGGTCTAACTTTTCCCTTCATGATTTTTATGTACGTAATATAAAGATAAGGATTGGAGATGGTTGTAGAATTCTTTTATGGTCTGTCCGGTGGCATATGAACATTCAAATGAAGGAAGAATTTCCTAGGTTGTATAGCTTATCTATGGATAAGGAAGGAACCTTGATGGATTTTTTCAAAGAAGACAGAGATCTAGGGGTTGGGTGTTTAATTTTAGGACTCTTCTAGCTTGCAAAGAGGAGGAGGTTGCTAGATTACAAGGCTTATAGCGATCCCGGTTGCCCATTTTCTGTTCTGTTGTATTCCGGACTCGGTTCCGTGAAGTTGGTAGTGGTATCTATCTTGTTGTCGTCCTTTAATTCCACTTGATTGAGTTTTAGGATGTTTTGGGCAGGTTTGTTACAGGTTGGTTAGGCCTTGGGTTCAATTCCTTGTTGTTCAGTTTTTAGGCGATCCGCTCGAGCGGGTCTTCTTGCGCTCGAGCGGGGATTGCACTCCTCCAGTATTTCGTGTTCCTGCAAAACTTCTGCAGATGTGATTTTTACGCTCGAGCGGGTTTGTTTACGCTCGAGCGGTGGCGCTCGAGCGGGTAGTACCTTCTGGGTGTAAGTCCTGGGAGGGGGAAATCTACGCTCGAGCGGACTGGTTTTCGCGCTCCAGCGGAAGTGCTTTATTCTTGTGTCTTGGAGCTCGAGCGGGTATTATTGTGCTCGAGCGTGTTCAGATTTTTGTTCTTGGCGCTCGAGTGTTGTGTTCTCCGCTCGAGCGGGTCATACGTATATGAGTTATCCGCTGGGTGATTTTAAATCACTTTTTGCTTTTCTTTCTCTCTCCTACTTTTTCTAAAAACCATTTTTGAGAGCCTCTCTCTCTAGAAACTCCCTTCTCTCTAGGGTTTGATCTAGTTAGAGTGTCCTCCTTCTCTTCGGCCTTTGTAAAAGTTGTGTTGATCGTCGAGGGCGTCGTTTTGATTGATCTAGTAGGAGTGATTTCCTCACCTTTGGCCTTTACAAAAAAGTTGTTGATCGTCGAGGGCTATCTTTTGATCCGAGAAATTCTTGATTTGGAGCATTTTCGTTTTCTTCACCTTCTTGGTTGGGAGTCATCTTTTGAGGTAGGGATAACCTACTCCTCACTATGGGCTTTGTCTTTAAATTTTAGTATTTTGAGATGTTGGGGTTGGTTTGGTAATTTTGTGAAAGTTTGGGGGCTTTTGTGTAAATTTACAAAAGTTGGGGTTTTAGCTATATAAAACCTAAATGCATGTTTGGCATGGAAAAAGTGAAATAAATGTTGAAACATTAATGAAAATGGAACCTAAGGGTTGTAATGTTAATTATGAAAAATGTCCTAATTACATTGATTGATTAATTTGTATAATCAATTGTTGGAAATGAGCGATTGATTTGAAAATGTGAAAATTGGAAAGGAAAGGTGTTAAAGGGTGTAGTTGGATCATTTATCACTCACCTAGTTGAAATGTTGATTATATATCCACTGTTGCATTTATTTTCTGTATAGAAATAACTGCTTTGGGCTATCGGTGGAGGATAGTCGTGATTGTTGTAGACAATGCATGATGATTAGGCTAACTGAAACTAATCGCTGGAATGCGTCATTGAGTTTGACGGTTAAAAGAATACATTAAATTTATGTATTGTGTGATGATGTGTATAATTATTGTTTATAAGCATTGTGTCGTGTTGGAGGAGATAGGGGATGTACTCCACGGTTTAGGGGAAGATAGGGGATGGACCTCTAAACTGGATGTTGTTGGGTGGAGATAGGGGATGGACTCCATAGATAGAGCTCATATGCTTATCTATTAATGTGTTGACAGAGCTCCTATGATTGTCATTGGAAGTGTGATAGTGCTCTTATGCATATCTATGGAAGTGATGATATAGCTTGTATGCTTATCTGTTGGTGTGTGATATAGCTAGTATGCTTATCTATTATGAAATGGGAAAGTGTTTAATACGAGTTACTGTCTCATATGAATCGTTTGGCCAGGTTCTGAGCCATGGTTATAAATTGAGAATTGAAAGAAATTGGAAAATGGGTTGTAACATGAACTTGTATGTCATGAAATTGTAAAGTGTGATAAGGGAGAGTATCATTGTTGGCCATCTATCAACTGCTAATCTTTTAGTCATTGTTCATATTTGGTTTAGTGTATTTCTACTGGGCTGTGGCTCACCCTATATGGGAATATCATTTTCAGGTACAGGTAGCATGCCACCTCCAAGGACGTAGCTTGGGAGGCTAGAGGCAGGCGGACTTTGTTGTTTTATTTCTTTGATGTATTACATGTATATTCAAGCCAAGGGCTTAATGTGTAAATGAGTTAGTACTCTTTTGTTGTAACCAAGTGTTAACTTGGAAAGCTGTAAGCCCTTAGGGCATTGCTTTTGTTGTTAACATGTAATACTTTTATAATGAAGTACTCTGATGAATAGAAGGATGTGAAGCTTTTGTATATCAATGCATGCCTATATTAATGGGTTTAATGTTGTTATTTTGAGGGCGTTACAACTTGGTATCAGAGCGTACCGGGTTCGAATACTTTGGGCACGTGGGAAGTGATTAGTATCACAATGGGTTTGTCTCGCTTGATAGAGACTGAGGTGTAGTGTCATATACTATGTGTTTGATTGATAACATGCTTATGTGACTATGTGGGTATGGGATTTAATTTCTAGGATGTGGATTGGATCCTTGGGTTTCGGTGAGTCTTGTTGGAAAGGCACTTGATCAATGCTGTTTCTGACTGGAACTCTGGTAACACCTCGGGACTATCACTACCCGGAAATGAAATTCATAAGTGCTTATGTGTTTATGTGCTTACGTGGAGTGAATTACAGTTATCCATGCATTAGGACGTGAGTGTTTAGTTTCAGCACATTTATGAATGTGCTAACGTTCTGAGTTACCTTTATTAGGATGTCAGGACGAGGACGCGATAGGCGTGGCAGGCGTGGTAGGCAGGAGATGCCGTTACCAGAGGAGGTTCCGGCAGTGCAGGAGGGAATTGGTCAGGCCAATGTGGCTGAGCCAGCGGGTCAGCAGGCTATGAGTCCCTTGGCACGAGAGATAGCAGGAGCTTTGGGTATTCTCAGAGCTGGGAATCAGGCAACTGAGGCAGGGCCTTCTTTCTTGAAGAGGGAGTTCTTCTAGTCTAATCCGGACGAGTTTGTTGGAGATCCGAAGGAACCACTGAAGGCTGACGAGTGGTTAGAACAAATGAGTAAGACGTTCGAGATGCTTGGCATCGAGAACGGAGCTTTGAAAGTGACCTTGGCATCCTTCCAGCTGAAGGGAGATGCGGGTCAATGGTGGAAATACGAGAAGGCTCGTGTTGGTGGTACATGGAAGGCGTTCGTGAATACTTTCCAAGAGAGGTTCTTATCTGTAGTTGCTAGGGAAAAGTTGAGGGATCAGTTTAGCCGGCTTAATCAGCAGGGTATGTCCGTGGCAGAGTTTGAGGCCACTATTACTAGTTTGTCCAAGTTTGCACCTGAGTTGGTGGCGTCCGAAGAACGCCATTGCTATGAGTTTGAGTGGAAGTTGAGGCGGGGCCTCAAGTTGAGGGTTGGTGGGTCTTACATCCGAGAGTATAGACACTTAGTGCTGCAGCTCATATGGAGCTTATGATGCATGAGGAAGACGAGGAGAAACATAGAGGCTCCAAGCGGGGCCAGGAGGGTCAGAGTGATGGCAGGAGACAGAGGGGTTATAACCCTCAACAGTCTCAGGGTGGAGTTGCTAGATCGACCTTTCCGGTGCCGAGTGCAGACTCGGGGAGAGGTAATCAGGGAGGCTTGACTTGTTTTGCGTGTGGCCAGCTGGGTCACAAGTCTTCGATTTTCTCGCAGAAGGGCGGAGGTCAGAGAGCTGCTTCGTCTTCAGTTAGACCCCAGAGTCAGAGTTTGGACAGGGGGCAGCCCTTATCTTGCTATCAGTGTGGGCAGCCTGGGCACCTGAAGAGGTTTTGCCCACAGTTGAGTGCCACTTCAGGAGCGTCTGGTTCTAGACAGACGCAGGGATTTCAGCCAGCTCAGTCTGTGCAGGCCTCGAGGGCCAATCCGGGGGCTTCGTCGTCCCAGTCAGTGCAGCAGTCGTATGCTCCGAGAGGCGAGCAGGTGGATCAAGGGCCTACAGGGCGCGTGTATACTGTTACTGCGCAAGATCTAGTACCGGCTCCATCAGTAGTGAGAGGTACTTTTCTGTTTTGCAACTCGGTTGCTAGCGTGTTGATTGACACGGGTGCATCTCATTCATTTGTATCTACTGCATTTGCATCTGTTTTGGAATTGGAGTTAGCACAGTTAGCAGCTCCTATTTGTGTAGTGTCACCTCTTGGTGGTGAGTTGATCCTGAAACAGGGTGTTAGAGGTTGTGATATAGAGGTCGCCGACTATAGGCTTCCTTTTCCGTTTGTTGTCATGCCCATGAAGGGCTTTGATGTTATTTTGGGTATGGACTGGCTATCGTCATACCGGGCTGTTATTGATTGCTACCGCCAGAGGGTCACGTTATGTACCTTGAGCGGGGAGTGGTTCCATATCTTGGGAGACCGGGTTGGTAGTGTTTTGCCACCGGGGTATGATTCGCGAGGGCGAAGTGAGCTTAGTTTGAGGGC